ATCATCTAAGGTCGTTTATGTGATGTAACACAATTTAATATTCATGTTTTGCCCGTCATTGGTGAAATGTTCCAGCTTAATATTGGAGACGGCTGTGTTTCTTTTTCAGTTTGGCGAATGAACACAACACACTACATCACCCACAACCCTTAACCGCTGTTTCTGCAGCAAAGGAGGAAGAAATCAAAGCAAATTTCAAACGCGAATTCATTTTCACAGCTGAATATATTACCACGTTTACAAAGTGCGAGTAGTAGCCTGACTGCTCAGCATTAGCAGCTCATGCAACAGAATATCTGCGAGTTTGTTACAGAAATGCACCTTGGAGTCGTAAATCCTGTTAAATTTGTAAGTACACAGTTTTGTATCAAAGAACGAGATATTTTCGAACTTTTTTATCTTGATGTATCGAGGTTGAAGCCCGTTGAAGGGCTCCACTTGACAACTCTCTCCAACCAAACCTTGTGTTCGCTCACCAAAGCTCCATATCTTCAAACTATGTGCATTATATCTTCCGTCCAACATCTTCTTAAGCACACCATGAGTTTCGTCTTATCTTTCTGGATTTCTGTCAATTTCAGTGCACATTTTTATCAAGAATGACCTTCCTGACTATTTTTGAATTTATCTGTTATATATAAATCTTTGCTCTCAAGTAAATACTGGCATGTGGTGTTTGAAGAGACGGCTGCATCATCGGAGAACGCACGAGTTTCACATTATCCTTTTCGTAAAATTCATGTTTCCTTTTTGTTGTCAGGATTTCATTTTCCAGTAAAAATGGCCTGTGACAACAAAGCTATCTGTTTGTGGATGTTGCCGCTTGTGATTGCTGTGAACACACAACTGTTAACACCTCATCTCCTCTTTTCTGGCAGACACACACACACACACACACAGACTCACACACACTGGCTGCTGTGCATAAATACACACCCACGTGAACAGATGACTGGGTGTTTTGCATGTCGAGGAGATTCTTAGATACTGATAATCCTCTAATCCAGTAAATTCACACGAAAACACACATACTTACATGCAGATAGAAAAACACGCGCTCACCAACAGGGTTGCACAGTGGAACGTGGTCTTTGCTGCTAATGACTTTCAGAGGACAGCTCCACACTGAAGACTCTTGAAAAGGGGTTGTGACCATATAAGAAGAAAAAAAAGTGTATAAGCAGAAGTTTTCAAAGTTTACTTTCTTCCACTTTCTCCCTCTCTCTTCATCTCATGTATTTCTCTCCCTCTCATCTCCTCCTTCCATCTCTCTTTTTCTCCATTTCTCCCCATCTCATCTCTGGAAGACTGGCAGTTATAGCCTGCAGTTGGTAGAGGCACTTGTAAATGATAGAACGAGAGGAGAAGAAGAGGATAGACAGGGTAATACGTTTCAGAGCTGAAAGTCTCTATTGTCACTGAGTCTGTCAGTGGGCGGCGGGAGGAGAGGAGCAATCTCTCCTTTCTTTCTTTCTCCATCCTTTCACTCTCCATTCTCTCCTTTTTTCTGTCCACTCATTCACTTTCTCAGACTCATCTCTCCCTTCATCCTGAGGCCAAAGAACCACACTCCATTATGAAGTGAAATCTGACCGTGGCACTTCTTCACGTGTCTCTTAAGTAACACGGAGGCAGGAGGTGTCTCAGAACAGGACGGTCGGTTAACAACCAGCCTGTCGTGTGGTGTGTGTGCTCAGATGGCCTGACCAGCGACTCTGTTAGGACAAACCAAGTCATGGGGAAGTGAACACGGAGCCAGACTTCACAGGAGGAAGAAAGTTATGTCATAAAAACAGCCAGTCAAACTACAGAACCTTTTTTGATCCAGATTTGATCACGAGATCTTGTGCATGAAGTGGTGAGAAATCAAAGTTTTAATATCACTTCAAAATGTGTGGTTTTTGTTCTTATGCATAGATCAGTTTTAGACAAAGCTCATTACATAATGTCAATAAATTAGTTCTCAAAATGTAAAAACAAACACACACTATAAATTAATTGACTTTTTATCTGATCAATAATCAAAATTAAAGAACACAACTACTCACAAGTCACAGCACCACAGCATAGATTATTTGTCAGGTTTTTTTTAATGATTGCAGTAATGATTTGTGCTGCGGATCCTTACGACACTCTGCCCTCTAAGAACCATGTTAGAGATGACGGATAAGATACGTTTTCACGGATCCACAATGGACACAAGGAAAATTGGAAAAATAAATCTAGTGCCAAAGCTGGTAAGAGTTAACGTGCACGAACAGTTCATACTCTCAACCTAAGAGCATGTAATTCTCTGGAAGTGATTGACACACCGTGTGATCAGATCTGACAGACATATTGACACAGACCCCCCCATGGTCCCATTCATGTTTCGGGTCAAGTCTTTGTTCCCAGCAGGTGGCTCCATTAAAACAAATAAATATCATGTTCAATCTCTGTAACATTTCTGTGATTGTTCAGCTTTGATTCATGAGTTATGTGGTGAGAAGGGAAACAGCAAGAGACAGGTAACTCCCACAATCTGAATGAACGACACGTCACACAAAAACCCTCAGAACCAACAAAACACGAGTGCTCTAAATTTTCATCCCATGTTTGGTATCAAGTCATCAGACCCAGTCTGAATCACAGACTCAAATAGGCCAACTCACTGTGTGTGAGTGTATGAGTGTGTGTGAGTGTGTGTGTGTCTGTGTGTGTCTGTGTGTGTGTGTGTGTGTTGTACACTCATGCTAACTGCCTCAGGTCTGCTTTCAGTGTGTTGTGTACACGTGCTGCTATCCTAATAGCTCAGAGATTTGGTTCATTATTGTGGGGGAATATCTGTGTGTGTGTGTGTGTGTGTGTGTGTGTATACAGTGTATATTTGCAGACAAAGCAGTGATGTATCCCCCCAGTGCAGTGAGTGTCCCAGATAGAGCGATCAAGCAGCGTGATTATAATGTATGACTCTAATATCACCACACAAGCATGAGACATTATGTGTGTGTGTTTGTGTGATAATTGTGTTGCTATCAACAACACGTTACAACACTCATTTATCATTTCTCTCATTCTAGCTTTTTTCTAGCTTGTTCATTTAATATGTTTCCTCACATGTTCTCAGCTGGATTAACACACTCACACACTTGTATTATTGTTTTCTTCTGTTATTGCTTCTGCATCTACTCAAATCATCAAACTGACTTCTACCCGTCAGTTTATATGTTTAATAATGACATCACTCATTAGTATCCAAACTAATTTAATTATACGAGTTTTGGTGTCAGAAAACCCAACTTGTTATGTAAAAACCACACAATTTTGTGCAAGAACTTTTTTTCTCGTCCTATTTCTTTTGTTATTGTGTCTTTCATGCATCGTCCACGAGCTAAGTAACAGCTCGCTGAGACGAAATGAAAACACCATGTTCCTCTCACTGTCTCATTAGTGTGAGCGAGGAGGAAGAGAAACGGGAGGCACGAGTGTGGATGGGAGTGGAGAGGATGATGGGCAGAAGTGGTCAGGAGGAGAGGGCTGTGGGGACTATTTGCATTCAGCTGGTGTGCGATGGTAAAGAGGTGCGTTATGAACACGTAACCTTGTTGGCATCGATCACACTACTTTGCCTGTGCGGTGTTGATTTGAGGAGACCTCTCAACACAAAACTCCCGTCAATGCTAAGTGGATTATTAGCTCATGTACATGTACGGTTCTCATCTCTCCGTCTTCATCTCCTCTTCTCCTCTCCTCTCTGCAGTGCTGCAGACCAGACATGTTGACTGTGTAGAAGTATGATCAGTGGAGACAGAACACTTTAAGATTTCAAAACCGTGTCTCTAAGTACTGGGAGGACTTACTGTATGTCTGACAATTTGTGTAACTTTTTGTAACTTTGCAAAACGACGGGTAAACAACCGATTATCGTTCAGATGTGTGGAGCTGAAAAAGGAAGCAGCGTTTCAACATCTCTTGTACGCTCATTTTAGTTCTTTCCATAACTACATCACTTACTTATCGGAAGTTGCAGATTCCCTCTAAAGGCAAAATCTGTTTGTCAGATCAGTTCCTCACTTTTTTTCATGAAATATAAAATCAGTTTGGTCTTATCCTTTGAAAATAGAAGTGGAATTTGTGGTTTCACTGTTTGGAAGTAGGATAGTAATACTTCTATATCCACATATATTGATTGATATCTATCATAGGGTATGTAATTAATCCAATGATGCTTTCCCAGACGTGATCCTGTTTGGAGTTTTTAATGAGAAATATAAAATTTTTAGTCCTTTAAACATGTGACACGAACGATTTCTTGGCATGACACTGACACTGATGGAGAACATTCACTAATGAGTGATATTTGGGATTTTCCTACAGTGTGAGCGCTCAAACTCTGACTTGTTTTAAAAGGAGGTTATGGTTGCAGGGATTTTAGTTTGAGCCCAAACAGCGAAGCCTGCTCCTGTGTTTTAATGATCCTGGCTCCCAGGACGACAGGGTTGTATTTATCGTCCGGGCCGGAGATTTAAAACCAAACGTTCTTTTAAATTAGTCTGAGCCTGCAATTTCATCCACACACACACACACACACAAACACACACACATACAACATTTAGATGGCATTTGATCCCTTGGTACTCAATGGGGGGGATAGATAGATTTGAGATGATATAACATATGGTGTGGCTTGATCACTGAGCAGCGTAATTGCCTTTCATGTTGTGTTTACACTGACTGACTTCAAAGTCTTTGTTTATTTTTTAGGAATATATGTTTTCTGAAGCCTGTGCATCTTATTAAATGCTGCATAGTGCAGAGGATATCCCTTGAAACCATTATTTCTGCACATATTGCTTTGATACACGTACAGAATTGCTTTGAAGCTAAAAACCCTCCCCGTCCCTCCCAACATCCCTCGTTCCCGTCATCTGTTTTTTTTCGTATTCTTTTTTAATTCTGTCTCTTCTCCGTTATCCTCCCAATGATGCTAACTGTTCATCCCTCTGTCCTCCTGTCCTCAGTGGGCCGCTTGTTGATCGAGTTCAGCTCCCAGATGACGATGGAGCGAGTGCAGAAAGAAAACCCCAACGTGACGGAGGGAGGCCGCTACACCCCTCCCGACTGTCGGCCTAGATGGAAGGTCTGTAACTGTCTCTCTGTCTGTAAAACACACACACACACACACACACACATTCTTCTTACGCTGCTTTAATGACCAGAATCAGGCTCAGCAACATCAGTACTGAATTTTAGATCCGTTTAAAAGACTTAAAATTCATTAAAAACAAGAACTTATCTCAGTATTCAGTGAAGAAACTTTTATAATATGAATCATTCTAAACAGAGTTTGGTGGATTTGTGAAAGCAGGTGGTTCAGGAAGCTGGGGATCATGGTTGAATAGATGTTGTATCTCAGTGGTGTATAAAGTGGTTATTTCCTGACACATAGTTAAAGACATTGCTTTTGGCAGCTTCCCTTATTATCTTCACTTATGTGTGTCCCTCTGAAATATTGATAGGAGTAAAGAAATACATTTTTCTACAGGCTCATTTTGGGTCATTAAAACAAGCTCTGTTCTCTACTATTAAGGCCTCATCACAGAAAAAGGCATCAACTCTGGTCGATGCTGTATTCAATGAAGTGACTAAATAAAAAGATATGATTGAAAATGATGTGCAATGAAGCAAATTAGACACAAGTAATTACATATGATGAAAACTACATTTCATCACTCACAGATTGGTGGCCAGGAAGTGCTCAAAGTTTCCTGATACTTTTACATTCTCACTAGTTGACTTTCAGAATGAAAATGGCCAAAATATCCGAAAACACTTTGTTGTACTCGTAACATCTTTGAGTCTTTGATGATAGAGATCTGAGGTATTGGCACAAAATAAATAAAATATTGTTTTTATCAGAAAACTAATGATTGATATCATATTGGTGCAAAGTTGTGAGTTTCCAGTGCCCTCCCTTTCAGGGGCGAATCAAAAAAAAAAAAAACATCAGTTCTTACTCATACAATGCACATTTTATATACGAGTGTAAGTACATACATACTGTATATAAGGAGAGTGATATATGTGCATGTGAACAAAGAACGTAATGTGAGTGGTGAATTATAATATTGCCACTGTTATTTGAATAATAAAACAATTATATGTTCAATTTAATGTGACATTTTTACTAATGCAAAATTCTTTAGGATTTTTTAAATTACTAGAAAGACATCTGTCACAATAATTCGATTTTGCCTAGTGGGTCATGGTCTATTTTAAGTTTTTTCTATTTTTTCCCTCATCTTCCAAAAATGAATCCTAGACCTAATTCCTCGGCCTAAATAGGATTATAAATTCTGCATTTATCTCTTGACCTTCGACTTTTTCCAGTGGATCATGTCTGTGTGTCTCTTCTCAGAATGTCAAACATCCCCAGCGTAAGGAAACATTAGGTATTAATTGGTACCTACCCAAATAATTGAGAGCAGACGATTAGTAAATAGGTCTACGTTAATTTTCTTTTTCTAATATTATTAATTATGTTGTCATTTTGGTTTTAATCTTCAGAAGTGTAAATAAACGAGTGGTCACTGAAGCAGACTGAACATCAGCTTTAATATGTGTGTGTGTGTGTGTCAGGGTGAGTTTATAAAGAAACCAAGGTCAATTTGCTGCCAATCTTCATCAGAGCACAAAATTACCATGAACCTACAATTACAGTTCAACCTTGCACTGTTTGGACAGCTGAGAGTGACTCACTGTCTCACGTCCCTGATGCCGCTGAGAGCTGCTTCATTATAAATATGAAGAGACTTCACATGTGCAGAGACATTAACCAGGAGGAGGACTTTCTATGGAAACTGTTTTCTGTAGGAGAACCGTTCACCGTCTGATGAAACAAATGACACTTATTCTCTCTGGTCACACCTGCAGAACAGTTTAAGATACAGCAGATGTACAGATTGTACTTGTGTCCTGTTTGTCAACAGCACTGATTAAACAGTTAAAGCGATGATCAGAGCATCTGCTAATAGTTTTCTTAATAATCAGTTGATCTTTATAACATAAAAACCAGTAATGAAAAGTACATGTGAATGCCAGTGGTGTTATTTTCCTGGGGGAATGATTATTTCATCTTTTGTTTTGTTTCGTCCTGGCATCAGTCTGAAACCCAAAGTTTCCCAATGAATGTATTGATATTTGAATGAGCAGCATAGTTAAATAATATATTGACTGATCATTGGCCAATCGTTGCAGCTGGCATAGAAAGGCGTCAATGTGTTTTATAATAACTGGAACTATTTGTGTGTCGCATAGGTGGCCATCATCATCCCGTTCCGTCACAGAGAAAACCACCTGAAGTACTGGCTCCACTACCTCCACCCCATCCTCAGACGGCAGAGAATCGACTACGGCATCTACATCATCAACCAGGTCGGTCAGCTGAGGCTGTTGGATAAACGATTAATCCGGGGATTTCTTTTCCAATTAACTGTTGCAAAATGACTGACAGTCGTCTAATTATGGGTATAGTATGGGAGTATGGAGGCTATTGTCACTTGTTAGTGTCAAGTGACAAGTGTCGGAGTTGTCGATGACGTCAGCGGTGCAGCTCAGTGGAATTAGTTCAAAGAAGATCTTGTAAAAGTTTTGTGGCTGATCCAAAAAATGTTTGGGGTCTCCCGTAACAGACACGTAGACAAACTGGTGACGCTGCTAATCACGAACAATCAAACACAAACCTTTGTCAGGAGCAGAGAGGAAAGTGATCATGTGAGCTTGATAGCATGAGACCACAACTCAATTCAATGTAGGTGATTAACTATTCAATTTATAGAACATTTGAAAATGAGCTTTGTTATTAATTTTATAAAACGTAAAACAGTTGTAAGCAAAAATCTGGAACCAGCAGTCTTGAGGACTTTTCTTCATCTTCTGTTTTGTGCTAAACTGAGTTAAAGACCAAGTAGGAAGCTGCAGGAACATTTTATTCCAACATCAAATTATGATGTAAAGTTGACATGAACTGGATCTGTCAGCTTATGTCAGGTTAGTAGCTCTGCAGAGGAGTGATAAGAACACTAAGGTCATCGTCAGGTATTCACTAATATGGTGGAAAATTAAGAACACGTCATTCTGTAGGTATTTAATCGCCTGACAGCTGCTTCACATCTCTGGCTGGTCTTCATTCACTGTTTTTCTTCTTCTGACAAAATATATATACAAGTTTTACAAGTTTCTGAGCGATGTTGTGAGACAGTGTGAGTCTTCCACGGTGTGTTGTGTGTGAGATCCTTCTCTCCCACATTATGGGTAATGAGCTCTCCTTTCTGCCCTCTCTCCCCCGTGGGCCTCTCGCAACACCTTAATCACTCCCCATGTGGAACAGACCTTTGGTTCCGCCTGCCCTGCTGTGCTCCACTCTTGATACGCCGATGGTTCCAGTGTTGTACACTCGCTCTCTCCCTCGCACATAAACACACATATTCTCTAAGCAGCTAAATCTTTCCTGACTCAAATAAGAAGCAGTCACAGAGGACAAGGGGGAGTCGAGCTGTAAGAGAGGCCACAACATTCAGAGCAGTTTTAACCTGACTGTCTCTTCTTTCATTTATTTTTAGAATGAGTCATTTCTCATTGACATTCCCACCAGGTCTACAATACTATTATTTCATCAGTTTGAATCTGTAAAACAAAGTTATAAATATGTTTTACATCATAAGAACAAAATTAAAATTAGTATGCTTTATAAATAACTGAAGTCAAGCAAGTCAAAGTACAGAGAATGAAATAAAAATAAAATACCTGAAATAAACATAAAATACATAAAACATATTAAAATTAAATGTAATAACTTGGATGCATCACACGTGGAGAAAAGGAGATTTAGTGCCTTGCTCAAGGACGGCTGCACAGGTCGTTGAACGCACTCATTGTAAAAGTTGAACCCAGACTCTGAATCCTGTTGCATAAATTTCTAGCGATGAGAGTCCTCATGTGCTGTCACACAACAACATGATATAATTTCATAGTTGGCAGCGTCAGTCGAGCTGCAGCTGCGGCTTCATATCATTCACCTGCACTTCAAACACACACTCATCCTCACACTCAGACTCTCAGCGAAACTATCCAGGTTTGCTCCACTCCACGATTTTGAATTTCAGCTAACGTTTGTCTGAAATGGAAATTACTCGCATGCATTTATGAAATACATTTGAACCTGTGGAGAGCCAACGATGCAGTTGTGTTGCGTCATGTGGTTAATTTCTTCCTCTTGTGTGAATAAAAGATGAGCAGCCATGTGCACTTCACCTCCACCACAAGTGGTAATGAGTTAGTCTCCCCTAAAAACTGTTATCATTCATGATCAGCAGCTAAATTCAGTTTTTTATTAGAAAAGAAAGGTATCAGAAAGTCTCACATTTCAATCCTGCAGCTGGAGCATTAGTATTAAATAATCTTTTCCAAATTTAAAGAAAAAGTTCCCCCAAGTGTCACATTCTTTGTGAACTTTTTTTGGTTGAGAACTTTAAATTAATAATTCACAAGTTTGTAATTGTATGAACAAAGCTGTTCTGCTCTTATTCAATGGTATTTGCATTTTTAAGTGTATCTTTGTCTCAAAGTGAAATCTCAGCCATCTCTGAGTTTCATAGAGGACAACCCGACATGAAGTGGCTGAATCGGACAGTGAGGCAGGTAGACACAAGATCAGGCAGAGTGAGAGAAACGGGAGTCAAACCGACAGAGGTGGCATTTTGACGACAAGACGTCCTGATGTATCTGACACGATGGGGCGATTAAACCTTTACACCCGACGCCGCTCTCCGGGAGCGTGGTGGAGAGCACTTTGCTATCGTGCTCGCTCAAGTGTTAAATGAGTGAAAGTCTGGAACCTTTTAACACCGAGCCACTGGGGAGGGATGGAGGTGGCGGGGGGGACGGGGGGGACGGGCTGTGATAATTTCACCCCAGCAGTCTCCTTGCTAACAGATAATGGCTGTCATGTCCTCAGAGTAAAAAAACAGGCATTTTGCAGAAAGAAGTGGCCCCTGGAGATTTAAAAAAATGCCCAAGGTGCACCTGTACTACTCAGGCACGCAAGGACACACACACATGAACACACACACAAACATGTACAAGTGAATGTCAGTGTGTCTGTATTCTTATATATAGAAGTTTGGTGGGACCATACATTGAGAGGGTATAGTTTGAAAAATAACATATCTAAGATATCTTATATTGTTCAGATCTCCATTATATGACATTAACTAAGAAATGAGTGTCCATTTTTCTGCATCACCTTAATGTACCCTAAGCTTATATATGATTATTAATAGTGTTAATATAAYTGAAAACATTTCTCTGTGCGCATTCTGTAATATATGTTTATAATTTAAAATATATCTTCATGGATGCTTTTCATTTGTTCGGCTTTTTGTTTCGTTTGTTTTTTATATGCAGCACAAAGAGCAGCTCCAACCAGTGACTTAGTTAAGTGATGAAAAAAAAGAAATAACTCCTCCATTCATCCTTGACTTCAGAAACATATCTGTGATTAAAATGTTCTAAAGAAAAAGTTCACATAAAGGTTCTCTGGAACTTTGAACCATTATTATATTATATTCCTCTAGCTCAAATGTCATGATGTCTGAACTCTATGTTTGTATCCTTCAGTCTCAGAAACGGCTCATCACTTACTGATAAAACTGCATGAATTCATGTGAACATTACTTCAGGTGGAAGTTTACTTTATCTTTTGGCTGCACCATCTTTCCGCCCTTGTTTTCACCTCGGACGGACATTTTGAAGCAGCCATCGTCTCGCTGTGAGAAAGCCGTGCTGCTGCTGCCGGTGAGGTACGGTGAGTAGGCGTTGCAGAGGGTTCAGGCAGAAAGTGATATAGCAACCTCGCTGTTCTGCCCTGCTGCTGCGTGTTCTCTCTCGCCGGCCGAGGACCGGGGCCAATGTTTGTTTGTTGGCCGTCAGCTCATCATGTAAAACTGGAGAGGGGCCCAGAGAGAGAGAGAGAGAGAGAGAGAGAGAGAGGGACATAGAGAGCAACAGAACAAAGAGAAAAGCAGGTGAGAAAGAGTGTGTGGGGGAGGAGGGGTGAGTGACAGAAATGAGAAAGAAGAGCCATCTGCTGTTATGATTTTTATGGAAGCTTCAGGTCAATCCAAGCTGGATATCAAGGAGTTGAAGGATAAGAAATAAGAAAACACAAAGTTGTACTTGACGCAGTGTGTTCAATGTGTTTTTACATTTTAAGAAAATTAATGGTGATTTCAATTTTAGGGGAAAATCAATGTTTGCACTGGTTTTGTAGTTAATGTATAGCGGTGACAAGGTCACGTATAATCACTAATTTCAGTGTAAAGAGGTAGACGTGTTCTTGAGAATCTGAAAGCCTTGGGTATATTTGATCCTTTGCAGAAGCGTCCACACCGATTTTCCCCCTCTTTCATCCTAAGTAGCTTATTTAAAAAAAAATTTACTCCTTAAGATGTACCTCAAATGTTCTGAGATGCTTTTGAGTCTCTTAATCTCAATTCTCGTGCCATTTTAGCACCAGTAGAAAATCGAGAGGACACAAAAGAAAGCAGGATAAAACGCGACTTGCTGACATCTGGCCTCAGCACATACAACACTTTACTAAGCTTCTGCCGGGCGCCTTGCTCCACTAATCCACCAAGATATGACCGCCACCTCCTTTCTCCCTCTGCCACCTCACACACACACACACACACACACACACACACACACACACACACACACTCTGCCTCTCAGTCACTCCTCTGCATCTGTCCAGAGCCTCAGGTTGTGCTGTAGATGAGTGAATGTAGTCGGCCTTCATGCCGCTCGTGTTTCTTATGCATGTCGTTCGTGGAGCTCCAGCAGCGTCCGGCACTGAGTGGACACCAAAGGATCAGGAGGGATTAAGCTCTGTGTGTTTCTGCCTGTATTTGTTTGGGCTTTATGGTGAAGGTCACATCAAGGTGGCTCAGGCAGATCGTTGGTCCAAAAAACATCCAGACAGACGGCCACATAGTGTGTGTCTCTGTGTGTGTGTTACAAAACAGACTTGTAATGTCAACATACCACAGTACTAACAAATCATCTCTGAAGGAAACATATTCACTAATAACACCAATATCTCTGTGACCTGTATATTTAGAGACCTGCCGTTATACTTGATTGCCAAGAGACAGGGAGGACATGCACACTCCACACTGAAAGAACTGGTCGGCAACGCAGAAATATATTATTCTAATGAACCTTTTTTTAATTTTTGTAAAATCAGCAGTAATCAGTGCATTAATAGGTTTGTGACATCAAACACAACCACTCATCAATGTGAAAAATAAATATTTGATGAACTCCTGTTTATTTTCATACCCTGTTTACCTCAAATGCTTTATGTGGACACCAGA